CAATTCACATGCTATCTTTTTTTTTGAAAAAAAGAAGTTATAACCCGATTAATAAAATTAAATCTTAAAAAAAATATTTTTGGGAAATTTTCCCTTGAGTTTGCTAAATATGCATGCAAGTCTACGAAATTAAAAAAATGTTAGCCTCGCACTTTTTTCATAACTTGGCCTAAACATTTTTTTAAAAAATTAAAAAATTAAAATGCAAACATTTATCTTATATTTTGTTTATATTTCAACGGACAGTTTCTCTCTCAAACAGCTTTTTCCGTGTATATATAGCCATAGATTCAACTGAAGCCGTCATTCTCAACATTAGTTTTCATCCCCGTGAGCCTTATTACAACTTGTAAATGAGTACTCGTGAGCAGATTTCCCTTTTTCGAATATTTCAGGCCAACGAAATCTTTCCCTCGCCACGAAATCCAATTTTCAAGAACTTTCCACCATCAATTTACAAACACTACATACTATTTTCCTGAAGAAACAATTAGAACATAATCTAGATCAAATTGTATTTCTATTGACGTCTAAAATGTCATTGAAGAAATCGACGACGTTCAGGATTGGTAATACGGCGAATGGGAATCACGATGATAGAGAAGATAGCTCGAATGGAGAAGAGGAATATGAGGTGCATGATTTGAGAGAGAGAATAAAATCATCGAGGGGAAGCCGATTCAATTTGATTGAGAACGAGTTCGAGCTCGAGCTGAATCGCCGGAGATTTAGCAGACAGACCGTCATCAATGGACTCAAAGATCTTTCACAAGGCTTAGTCATTCATCCCGATAACAGGTTCGTACATACATATACATCTAAAAGTTTGTATGTATTTGTGTATCTAGAGCTTCCTTCATTTCCAGTTCTTCCTTTGGAGAGGAGAGAATTATGTGAGAGAGAAGCGTGTTATTCAGTCGAGGAGAGGGAGGGAGGGGCGGCGATATTCTCGCCAATGATCGTGGTGCTGACGTGGCTTATTAAGAGCGGCAGAAGTATCTTTTGTTTTTGGTTTGAATAATCTATAGGTGGTTTGACTTTATCTATTTAAAAATCTTTATTAATGGTGCGCCGAAAATAGAAGGAAAA